TTCGAATAGTTTTTATTTATGTAGTTATTTTTATTGATATAGTTTATATTTTTATCCTCCTAGGTGAGTATGCTACCGATTCACCGGCCCGGTGGGAAGCAAGGTTCGATTGGCTCCAGCGGGAGCCGATCCGAGGTGGGCCAATCGCATTACAACAGACTGCCTCCTTCCCGTTCTTGTCTCACGAAGGTCGACAATCACTGAATTAGCTTATTAGGAAACATTATATCTTTCATTGTTTTTTTACTCCCTTTCAGACATCTCACGTAACGTTAAGGAAAGGAATGCAACTAAACAAGAATGCATGAAAGATTCCAGAGTATGTATTCAATCAATATCGTACATAATTTTGGCTGTCTATAAAATATCTGGGGAACGTCTAAAAATGAATAAAAAATACTACTGAAAGATCTATCTCATGGAATGAGCACTTCTGTCCAATACAACGATCCTACCATATCTATCAAATTTGTTTTGAATATGTATGCCTATTGGTGGGGTTTGTCGGCTCTACTTGTTCACTCGCTTCTTGCTCGGCAGGATCTGAAAAAAATAGATAAGGGAAGGTTTGCCCAAATTTCCATAATATTCAGTGTTCCCTATTTCAGACCTGGGAGTTGGATATTCTTTCCTTTTTCTTTTTCCAACTCTCCAGATAAGGAATACGGAAAATTGACTTTCTCGACATTCCCAGCCCATAACGAATTAAGACCCTCGCCGCTCCTTCCCACTGATAGCGAGCAAGTGTGTTAGAGAATACTACCGGTACTGGAGCTGTTGCCCTAGGGCAGCCGAATGGTTGAGTCCGGGCTCACGTCTGAACTAAAAAGGGTGCTAGTGTCAAGCCCAGGCCGACTTCACAACAACTATGTCTAAAAGTCGCAACAGAATCAGCGATTGGAACTAACGCCTTCTATAAATGACGTCACGGCCGTCCAATGACCAGAAAGGCGATTGGCACTAGGGCTGGGGGAGGGCGGTTACTGCCAACGTCATTGGTGGAAGAGTTGAATGGGGTGTGGCCAAACGCTTATAACACCACTCCTGTCTGTCTTCAGTTGGAACTTTGCCGAAAGGGAAATTTTTCGCTGCTATCACCAATCGAGAAAGAACACATGATTCTGCACGAAGAGGGGAAGCTCTGTCTTCTCTCTTACTCGACTACATACGCACTATGCAATCGCGGGGTTTTCTTCAACTCGTTCCGGACCGCGTGACACACATGGTGTGTCATACTTTTTTTCTCTCTGCGCCGTTTCATACGGTCCATTTGGCATCTTATTCATGCTCCGAAGTATCAGAACACGTTTTTAGGCAGAGAATACAAATAGAAAAGTGAAAGAAACAGATGAAATTGCTGATTATCGGTTCGAAAAGTAATGAAATTATGCGGAGATCCTCGTACAACGGCGGTCCCGAATGTGTTGAAACAGAAAATGAGCAACTTATGAAATGTTGAACACCTGCTCCAACCCTTCCAAAGTCCCTATTGATTGTTAGAAAACCTGCACCTACTACGTTGATCTCACCTTACGATTGAGGCTCTACACAAGGAAACGAATATCACAGCGGCAGTGATTCATTCAGAAATTTGATTCAATGTCTGGCAGTAATTTTAAACTAAGTGCTCAAAGCAGACGGCGATGAGCCTGCGAAAAGTTTGTAGGTAGCAGGATGAGGAACAGAAGTGTATGTGCTGGTCGACAAACCTAAGAGAAGGAGAGGAGGCCGTCAAAGCGTTCTAAATGAGCCACGTCTATCCCTTGTCTCTCGTAAGGTCCCTACTTGTGCCAAACGAGAGACAAGGAATAGACGTGGATATTGGGCAAGAAGCTATACAAAGTAGCGAGAGAGAATGCGAACGAGCAAGACAGCAGATACGGTATCTATCAAAGTGGGCGGAGCTACCCTGTGCCTTATCGCCACTGTCTTACCACTTTTCAAGTGAAACTTATTCAAGCTATTCGTTGCAGTCCACACTACTTCTCCCTCGAAGAGCTTAGATATTTATAAGTGATCGCGAGCTCTCCCTTTGAATACGAAATTGATTAGATAATAATTGGAAATGTGCGAAAATGTTATGATACAACACTTTATTATGGAAACATGACATCAAAACGGAGCTCAAAAGTAGCAAAACCTTCAGTGCTATACAATGATAAAAACAGGAACAAAAACAGTAAGAAAAACAGCAACTTCAGTCATAACTACCGCACTTCAGATTCCCAAACAACACGATTTCATTTCATTTTTTTAATTCACCCTCTAAAATCAATATCTTCGAACAACAACAGCGTCATTTCACGCATTCGCCTCTTAGCTTCCATTTCAGGCATCTCGCGAAGCGTCGTTGAGATAAATGCCGCTAAAAATGAAAACTGACCAAAAAGAGCGGTAAAGTTGATAAAAAAATGAGGGGAATATTCAATTCAGAACTCACCATATTTGTCAAACTTATCGCCTGTTGTCTTCACAGTCTGAGGTTGACCTTGAGTCTGCGTTGGGTCATCAGGTGTATTTTTCCCTCCTTTCAAAGCTTGAGCTGAAACGGAATTCATGGTAAGGTGATTTGTTGGGACACAAATGAACAGTAACTCCAGTCCAACTGGTACGATTGGCACCGAAATCTGAAGCTGTGCTAAATAATATGTGAAGTTGCATAAATATAGCAGCTGGCCCTGATGTAACATAGGCACGCAGCCCAGTCCACCTAAATGTAAATGACGTGTCTTTGACGTCACTTAAGGCATTAGCCTCATTGAGGTGTTATATACCACGCCATCCCCTGGTTCCAGAGGGGAGACGGGCAAGAGAATCGTAATTTGTCGCTCCGCCGCGCGCGGCGATGGGCGCGGCGTTTTCTTAACTCGTGTTAACCTGTCGATTGGAGCACCGGACTTCATGTAGACCCCGTCATCGTAGACATTCATGACTATTTTCGGTTCTGAATTGCCTGTTGTCGCCATCTACTACCTGGAACCATCGTCATTTGCGGGCGCGACGTCGCACGCGACGCCCACCAGCGCGGCGAATTACGATTCTCTTGTCACACACCCGTTCTGGAGTGCGTTCATACTTCGCGTCACCGTTTTAAGAGTCTGTCAGCGTTTTTAACGACTTGGAAAGTGTACGTATCGCTCCGTTCGCCAGCGTTTTGAGCGTTTCGCGGCTAGTATTTCGCGGCGGTAACAGGCGCTCAAAATGCTGGATCGATACCTATACTTTCCTAGTCGCTCGAAACGCAAACGCAACGTATGAACGCATTTTTAGCGGGCTTACTGACCTCGCCCAGCAGGTTTCATACCACTCTTACGGAGTATAGGCATGATAGGTTTGAGCATGCCACGCCACATTTTGTGCTCTGATTGCATTACGGTACCCATACAGTGAGATCGAAATGAAACTCACGCCACAAAAAAATCCGAAAAAAAAAACTTACCAAGATTGACAATCCTCTCTCGTTGTTTTGGCAAGCAATCAACTGAAACTGCTTATGGGTTCGGAGGGCTCGCGATATCTCAGAGGATAAAATCACAGAATGGCTCTTCAAAGTACTTCATGGAGCTTTGCGTTGAAAAACTGTTTTAGTCTATCCATTCTTTATTATCTTCGCCTATTTTGACTCATGAACGGCGAGAAGATGGTCAAAGGACGTGGAAGGGGAAAAACGAGGAAAGTCCAGAACAATCAAAAACCTTCTTACCAAGTTCTCAAAGGTAAACAGGACTCGCTTCCTTCCATCAATTAAGTACGGTCTCGCTAAGTCTGGGATCCCCAATCGTAAGGACTTGGCCCTTGAAATAACACACATAGTGCGCAAGCTTGCAGCCAGAAGGAATGGGAGCGATAAAACGACTGTCCTCGGGAGCGAAAACTGTAGCTACTCATCAGCCATTGAAACGACTCCTGGGACAACACTTTAGCCACTCATCGCCGTGGAGATCCTCCACAGAGACTTCTATGACTGGTCTATGTATTTATTCACTCAGCGCTGCATCACGTAATAAAAACTTTTACTATAACCAGTACCTTCCGCTCGAGAAAAAGGAGTTTGGCGCTTGTAGAGCCGTGGTGCATTATTTGGCTCTCCATTTGACGGATGATCTTCCACGATATTCTTCTTCGCGGGTTGAGGACGCTCTAGAGGTTGAGAACGCTCTGGCGGTTGAGAACGCTCTGGAGGTTGAGAACGCTCTGGAGGTTGAGGACGCTCTAGAAGAATGACGAAAATGATTTTAAGTAATAAGTTTATATTGGGGCAATTCATGAACCCCTCCAGGTACACTCGAGATCCCTGAGATGTGGTGGGCGTGGCTGCGTACTACAAGTAATCGTGGCGAGGGCTGTGCTGTTTGAGAGATATTTTCATTTTGACACAATTGTGGTCGTGTCTCTTTACAACACAGAACAAGATGACAGTTGTCTCAAATTGAAATATCCCACGAGTAACCCGTTCTGTGCCATGTTCGAATGCCACGCCTACTCCGTCTCAGGGATAAGGAGTGTACCAGAAAGCCACTTCCTTGAATGTTAGCGACAAAACACCACCAAAAACCCAGAATCTTGAGAACAACACAAATTTTTTTTTCAAAAATAATGAGGCCGCGCTCGAACTTTGCGAAATAGGAGAATCGGAAAGCCTGCGGAGAGGAAAGGAGACCTAGAAATCCGGAGAATTTGTACGAGGTGGAGAATTCTGACAATTGCGCATTTGAGCGCAGTCAACGAAGATTATTATTTATTGTATTTCGCGGATTCTCCAACGCAGCAAAGTATAAACGCAGCCTAAGCACTAGTTAGAAGCAGATATCTCACCTTGATCCTTAGGTTCCGTTCGTGGCCGCTTTGGCGGTGGAGCCGACATTGGTGGAGCCGTCACCGAGGCATAAGAAGAAATAATAGTGATGCCTGGTGTATCCTCGTTTTGCTTCATCGCCGTCGCCGGTTTCGCTGTAGTGCTCCTTGGCCCACCATTTTCCGCCAACACAGTGACCAAGGTAGGACCACAAGCAGTACCATCATCGCGTTTTTCCGGTTTTGGTTCTCTGGTTGGTGCCGACGGGGCTTCTTGCATTTCCGATTTTGGCTCTCTATTGGGCGCTGATGTATACTCATCCATTAATGAGCTCCCTTCGAAGGCATAGTCGTCGTCATTGAGGTACTCCAATTCATCTGATCTCATTTCATGTGGACTGGCATCTGGAGATATATCGTAGTGACTGTAGTGCGCACGAGTCCTAAACTGTTTCGCATGAGAACATGACAGCTACGGTCAATTCCAAAAGATCGGGGATCACTCTAAATAAGTCCTTACACCCATTCTTCGTGAGTTTGCTTGTTAATTATTACACTAGGAAGTTAGCCCACTAAAGAGATTCCAAAGTTTGTGCCTTTATCAAAGAAGACCTTACGCTGAGCCAAGGTTCACAGAAAGTCAAGCATGGGCGTGTGCAAATTATTACGTTCTTTGTAACAAGTTATCAACCATCGATAACGTCATCGTCTGACGTTATCATTCCCTGGTACGTAAATAGTATTTACAGAAAAGCTCGCCTTCTTCGGGAAAGTGCGCCTCGTTAAATATTCTAGTCAATGTATTACGTTAAAGGGACGTTACGCTCTATCCCTGATGTGGGCCTACGGACAACTAAAACTAAATCCCTTTAATGGCGCCAACTTTCTGTTTTTCTCTGCGCCCTCACGTCTTCAAGGCGTTCTGTGACCGCTCTGACCATTTATTTTCCAATTTTTCACGCATAGTAAGCAGCTCATCACCCCGGTGTCCTCTGTCCTTGGAGAAAATCATCTCCTGGCTCGCGATATGTTTTTTGTACCTCTCAATGCCTTGGCGGCCGCAGTTCTTTGTTTCTCTGTGCTCTGGCTTTTCGCAGCAGGACCTCCTTCAAAAGTTTTAGTT